ATCATTATTATTATTATTATCATTATCATTATCATTATCATTATCATTATCATTATCATTATTATTATTATTATTTGTTTGAAAACCTTCCCTTCAGATGCTACGGGATATGTGGTATATGCAAGACGGAGCTCCGTCCCTGTATACAGGGTGATTCACAACTTATCCAAAACAATTTGCGAATAGATGCGGCATGATAAATGGAGTCAATATCTTAAAAAAAAAGTTTTGTAAAATCCTTATAGTTTGCGCAAAAAAAAATATTGGAGTTATAGCATTTTCATTACATAGCTGGACAACTGTAGTCTCTAGCGTCATTCGCAATACGCGTGGAGAGCCACGCGGCCTCAGCGACTCCGAACACTGAAATCCGACTGTTTACAATAGTTTTTTAGTAGTTAGTGTCAGAAATGGCTTGCGTGTGTAGCAACTCGGAGTTGATGGATATCGTTTTAATTTATGATGAAGAAAGACAACATTTATATTATGGTGAAGCATTTGTGTTATGGTGAGGCAAGACAACATTTGTGTTAGTTCGTAAAAACTGAGTAAGACTGACCCAAATGTGTTTACACGTCGGTGTACAAAATTTACACGTCGGTGAACAAAATTTGGAACAGTTGTTGTAACATTAGGTACCTATGTCAAATTATTTTATTATTTAAAACCACAAATTAATTTTAATTTTTTTCGAACTGCCCTTTTTGATTTTTCCTTTATAAAATTGTATTCGTAAGAGTCCCCTGTACATCCAAATTGTTTTTGGATAAGTCCTAATCACCCTGTGTTGTATATACAGAATCTTTCAGATGGACTGCATTTCCACGTTCCAGGGATCAAAAAATTTTTTAGTATTGCCACGCCATCTATACAGAAAGATTTGAACTAACAATTCTAACTGCAATTTGAAGCTACTGAAGGGACCTAACGACCTCAGTTTCCAGAACTAAAATAAATTTCTTCATTTCGACATATTGGCAGCGGGAGTGTTAAACGGCACACCTATATATAAGTTGCGAAACTGTTAGACGACTGTCTAAGTTAAAGAACGAAATCTGAAAATATAGTCGAGTATGCACTCAAAGACAACATGAAAGTGTAAACTCTTTTTATTACTCGAACTTTCGGAATAAAATTATTCCTTCTTCAGGAGAAACTACAATAGAACATATATTACGATAACACAAATATTAAAAATGTAATTACAAAATTTGAGCATCGAATAAAAAATTCTCAAAATCTAGAACAGAGTCCTTCACAAATCCAGTCATAATATACAAATATATTGAATATGTTAAAAATATAGGTAATGTTCTCTATATTAAAACCGTTGGATAAAACTTATTAAAACTAAAATCAATTAAAATTTGGAAAAATTCTTAACAAACATTTTTTTTAAATTATCTCTAACGTTAAACTGTGAATGGCCATGTGGTGGCAAGGAACCAAACAATTGAAATCATAACCACATACCTAAAGAAATATGCTGCTTTTCGACGACTACACAGCCACACAGCATGCAATAAAAGGGGATAGAAAAGACGGCCATTTTTATCTACTCTCTTCATCTTCTTCTAAACCTAAAGTGACCTGAAGTTGTTTTGTGTATGTTCTATTGTTTACTGAATTACTTTTGAGGTTATTATTTTTGCGATTTTCCTATTTAAACAAGATAATAGTGTTGTTTTTATATTTTCTGAATTAAAGAAATGTCGTGTTTTGTTAGAAGCGGCAAAAATGTTAAACGATTTTTATCCGCAAGTTCAGAAGTTACTTTTCACCGGTATGTTTCACATTCTTATATTTTTTGTTTGCTTTTTATACTGAAGTTGTGTTTTTTTTCTAATATATACAGGGTGTCCCGAAATTCATGCAACAAAGTTTGGTCATAGATTCTTAAGACAAATTTAGGGGACCCGTATTTTTTGTTTTTGCCAAGTGGCCCCCTCTTTCGGAGTTACAGCCCCATGAAGTCCGCCCCTAAGAATAATATTTTTTTATATCTCGGAACCCTGTTGTATGAGAATCACTAAATTTGGTACACAGGCGTTTTATGACGTGGAATCTGCTGGTGCTACGTTTTTTGGCGGGGAACCTCATTAAGACAATTTTTCGTGGTTCCCCTTGTCTTTGGAGACAAGAAAATTTGGTCGCATAGTTAAATAAAATTATCAGTCCACTAGAAAGCCATTAAATTTTGAAACTTTTTGTTTCTTTATACTTTTTTTCGTAAAACGCGATATGTTGGAGAAAAATGTCAAAATGTGATCGGATACATATCGTGATTCGCCATTTTCCTCAAAAACATTGAATTTTACGAAACAAATATCAAGAGAAAAAAGTTTCTAAATTCAATGGCTTTCTAGCTAACTAATAATTTAAAAAAAATCAAATTTGCGACCAAATTTTTCTGTTTCCAATGACAAGGGGGCCCACGAAAAAGTGTCTTAAGGGGGTTTCTCGCCAAAAAGCGTAGCACTGTGAGATTCCACATGTCATAAAACCCCTGTGTACCAAATTTACTGATTCTCGTAGAACATGGTTTTGAGATATAAAAAAGACTTCTTAGGCGCAGATTTCAGGGGGCTGTAACTCCGAAAGAGGGGGCCAGTTGGCAAAAAGAAAAAATACGGGTCCCCTAAATTTGTCTTAAGGATTTATGACCAAATTTTGTTGCATGAATTTCGGGACACCCTGTATAATAGTTTTCCTAAAAATGACTAAAGATTTCGTCAGTGGCTAAATGTTCTTGGCATGGAATGGGATGAAAGCATTACATGGTCAAAAACTATGTTTATTTGTTCGGATCATTTTGACAAAGATGATATTATGAAAACTGGTGACTCTCTTAAAAGAAGGGGTCTTCCTTGTATTAATGAGAGTAGCGAAGAAATTAAACCTTTACCGTCAACTTCAAAAACTACTGGACCTCTACCGTCGGCTTCAAGTCTGAAATTTCACCACCAATTTTAAAAGTGCCCCAATCTTTGCAAGCAATATTACTACCTATTATTACTAATTATTTTTGTATTAAGTTATTTTAAGACATAACTGCAAAATACATATTAGTTTACTCTTTCCTTTTATTTTATTCAAACTCTAAACTTAACTATTAATTAAAATAAAGAAAATTTTTAGTAGTCTTAATGCGTAGTCTTCCTTAGCCTGGACCTCACTTGTATTTATTTACTGGTGAGCAATTGAACTTCGCCTTTTGGGTACACCAGATTTTTTTTCTGTATATTTTGTACTACCTACTAGTTTTGTAATTTAATCTTTGGTTATATCTAATAAAGTCAATTATTATTTTTACTAAATCTTACAGCACGATTATTGACAATTTTACAAGAAAGTTGCTAAATTAATGTTTCCTCGCAAAGTTGTTATGTGACCATTACAGCTTTCTTGCAAACCGACTGTAAAAACTTTAACAATTTTCCAGTTTCATTTGTAAATGATAGAAATGTCTCAGCAATTTTATTTTGCTTAGTTGACACATATTTACACTCTGATTTCAGTTATTAAACAGTGTTACGTAAAACTGGAGTGAGAGGTGGAAGAAGACCGGCGCAGTAGAGCCACGGCGGGCCTGAGGCATGTGAGGCACGGGGACGACAGGGTAAAGACGACACGACGAAACACGTCGGGTGTAATTATTGTAGTGGTATGATATTATTAATAAAGGCGTTTCTGTTGAAAGTGTCTTTTCTTCTAATAACTCAGAAATAAGTGTAACAACTCAGAAGTGGGATAGATACGTGCTGTAAAAGTGGAAAAATGTAGTTTCTTGGCGTTAAAGAGAAAACGACGGAAACTACAAAACTGGGCGTTGGCTGGTGCAACAGGTGAACCGGCGAAATCGGCGGCGGCCATCTAAGGACCTAGTAATTGTGCGTACGTATATACATATATCGGAGGCAACTGTAAGTACGGTACATTTCTTATAATTATGGTGGAATAATTAAGGCGTACTAAGTAAACTAGAACTTGTTTATTACGTGGCGATAAGATTAATAAAGCGAGATCGGCGTTTCTATAACACACACATTGTTCCAAATTTGTAAATAACAGGTGGTTGTTCGAAATTTTACGTGTCGGAAGTGTACTGATAATAATCATTTCGGCGTATACTAACGGTGTTATTGGTATTTTTGAAATTATACGAATCACATTGATAAGCATTTCGGCGTGTACCCACGGTGTTATTGGTAATTTTTACGTGCCAGAGGCATGCTGGTAGACGTTTCAATGTGTACTAAAGGTGTTACGTATCAGTGGCCTACAGATAGACAATTTGGCGTGTACCAGCGGTGTTACTAGTACTTTTGACGTTCATTGGCGCACTGACGAATATTTTTTGGCGTATACCAACGGCGTCTTTAGTATTTCTTAAATTCTTCCTTTTCATAGGCTGATAATTAGGCGAGTAATAATAAAATATTATTTTTGCCAGGCGACGGCGTAACGTTGAGTGACCAGGAGGCAATGGAGTTACATCTAGGCGATGATCAACTGCCAATGGATGATGAGGGGGAATCCTGAGGCAGTGGCGCTAGGATCACCATGGGGGGAATCCTCATGGTAGGCAGGCGTGTCAAGCGGTGACCTGGCGAGTATATCGGTACAGGATCTGGTGAAGGCGTTGTTGGCGGGCAGCCTTACTACTACAATCTAGAAGATAGCCAAACAACAGGCGGCTCTGGTGGTAGGCGATGTGTCGGATGCAAAGGCGATGACTTCCAGGCATAACGAGACGGATGGTCGCAAGTAAGGAAGCGTGATGATAGGCCAAGTGGTGGATCGATTCAATCTAGATAATCCGGAAACCAACATCGAGCGGTGGCTCCAGAAGATCGACCAGCTGGGGGTGATCCATGACTGGACCAGCTACGAACGGGGCGATGTTGGCACAGGCGAAACTGGCGGGCGTAGCGAGGCGGTGGTTTTATCAGCTAGAGGATTATGACCTTACCGGGGACCAGTGGAAGAAGAAGTTAAGGACGGCGTTTCCTCGGCGTAGGGACTACGCAGATATGCTAGAAGATATGTTGGAGAGACGTAAGCTCGCAGCGGAGACCATGACGACCTACTATCATGCGAAACTGGCGTTGTCATGGGGGTGAGGATCACCGGCAACAATGCGGTGTCTTACATCATCAAGGGGTTACCGGTGGAGTTGAGGGCCAATGCGGAAGCGGCGAGGTACACACCCCTGAAGTACTCTTCAACAGCTTCCTCGCTGGACTGGAAAGCTACCACGACGAGAGTGCACCCAGGCGAACAATGTCGAGAATCTAATTACCTGAGAGGCAAACGAGTGTCCTTTAACCAGGGCGATGGAGTTAAAGAGGTGCTACAATTGCCAGCGCTTCACTAATCACGTCAGCAGGTGTTGTCCCCGACCGGCGGCTGACAGTTATAGATCCTGTGGAGAAGTAGGAAATTGGGCGTCCAACTGTCCCCAGAGGCGTGACCAAGGTGGCAACGGCGACGGAGGCGGCGCAACCGGACCGGCGAAGGTAAGATTAAGGTTACAACTTGATATGGTGAATAAATGTTTCAGGCAGGTGGTGTATGTCAACGGTGAGATGGTCAAGTGGTCAAAGCGTACCTGGACATCGGAAGTGAGCAAAACCTGATGCCCGAGACTGTGACTTGGCGATTGGGACTCACAGTTGTCGAGAAGGGACGAGTACAGGTTCTCCAGGGATTTGGCGTGGTGTTGTTCACAGCATGGGGACTATCCAAGTCGAAATGACAACGGCGAACTGTCAGCTGATCATCACGGTGTTGGTGACAGGAACGGACATGGGGGTACAATAGAGCTCCTCGTGGGCCAACCGGCCATCAATAGCCCCGGCGTGACTAGGGTGGTCAGAGGCGGGAAGACCATTTTGACTACGGCACCTGACGTTGATGAGCTCTTAAAATCTATTACGCTTGGCGAAAGCGAGACGAGACCGACGGCCGTCCTGGCGGAAGATGTAACCCTTCGGCCGAACTCCATGAAGCAGGTTCTCAATGGGGTATACAGCGTGGAGTACCTCATGAGTAAGAAGCAATTCCCTTGTGGAGAGTCTACAATCATAATTAATCCGATGGGAATACTAAGGGGGCGACAGAAGGAGATCACAGTGGCGAATTTGAGCTGTGATGACGTATTTTGGAAGAAATGGCGACTGGTATCTCGGTTGGAGGCGTGCTTACCAGATAGGGGTGACCAGGGCCGGCGGCCACCAGGTGAGAGCTTTAACTGCATTTGTTAGCAACTTCAGGCGTAGTAATAGGTACTGTATATGAACGGTGTAAGCAGCAATTGTTCAACTTGTCACGGCGTAAGTCTAGTTGCTTCTCTAACGGATATGGCGATCTCGGATTAACGAGTTTAGGTCAGATGCAGATTAAGTTAACTTCGGATGTGCCTGTTTATTTCAGTCAATACAGGTTGTCGTATCACAAGAGGGCGATGGTGAAAGACAAGGTGCAAACTCTGTTAGACGTTGGCGCTTCCTGAAGATTATTCACAAAATGTTGAGTAAGAGTAAGAAGTATGGCGAGGTGTTGGCGTACATCGATAATTTGCTGATACCTTCCTCCGGCGAGGATGAGGGTGTACGGTTGTTGGGGTTAGTGCTAGACCTCATTGAGCAAGTAAGAGTAAACTGGAGCAGTGTTCTTTCTTACAGGGTAGCATCGAATATTTAGGGCACGAGATCGACGGCGAAGGGATCCGACCTGAAAGGCGCAAGATACAGACGGTTCTAGATTTTCCTCAACCCCAGGATGTACATGGCGTGCAGCAGTTTATAGGATTGTCTTCGTATTTCAGGAAGTTTGTTCATAATTTTTCAGTGCTGGCGAGGCTATTGACGGACTCGACCAAGAAAGAAAGATGTTCGTATAACCCCTAAAGGTGATAGGTGGTGTCACTGGCGGATGACGATTGGTTTCTGACAGTGCAATTGCAATGCCCTGTGGCGCACAGTGCAGTTGTAATGCCCTGTGGCGCAGGAGTTCGTTCAGCGGCTACTGTTCATCAATCCTGGAGACATGAAGGCGATTTATAAGACAAAGGCGATAGGTTATACCTGCCGGCGGTGGCGAGGTTTAATATTCTCAGGAAACATCATAATGACATTGGACAACCGGCGGGCGAACGGTGTCTGGAGCTAGTATCGGCGACCTACTGGTTTCCGAAAATGGGGCGTTTTATCTCCAAATATGTCAAATCGTGTGTACGGTGTGGATTTGCGAAAGGCCAGTATGGGCGGGGCAAGGGTCTTCTGATATCCGCGGCGAGTGATTACCCACCAAGGTAAGGCGTTTAAAAATAAAAAGTTTAAGGCGTTTCTGGCGGAAAATGCCGTGGCGACTTCTAGGGCGAACGGGCAGTTGGAAAAACCTAATAGAACTCGCGGAGACGGAAGGTCGTGGAGATTATGCTTTGCCTGATGTTGTTTGGGGCCCTAACAATACAGTCAGCATGGGTATATGCTTCGCTCCTTCGTACCTGATGTTCTCCCACAGTCGTGGAGGAGTAGATTTGGCGGGCGAGCTAGCTAGCGACTCACAATCCGGTGAAGGTATTAGGGATTCGGAGAATGGTCCATAGGTCACAGCGGATGATCAGAGGTACACGGCGAAGGCGGAAGTACCCGGTGTCGGAAGAAATGATCAAGCAAGTGGCGTGATGGCGGCTGAACCTGATACAGCTAAGATCGGAGTAAGCGACACCACCCCGAAGCAGCAGGGTGACAACTCTGCATATGCTTCCCACTTGGCGGGTGTCCCTCGGCGAAGCGGAACTCGCACTAGGCGTAGTGGCTACTATGGCGAAAATTCCTGACTGAGCAACCAGATTCGAACGGAGGTACTCAATCTGTGGCGCGAGTGAACTCGCGGCGAATTTCGGTGATGGCCCAATACACGAAAACCGAGACAAGGTGTTGGCTAACATACATAGGCAGGACATGGCGATGAGAAAGGTGGCAACTTCCTATAAGATAGGCGACCTTGTACTATGGCGGAAATGGGCGGCTTCAAGAGCTGGCGTAGGCCTGAGTCATAAATTGAAAAACAAATTCGGTGAACCTTATCGAATTTGCAAGATATGGGCCAGAGACTGTTATCTGAGGGGCGATAAAGGGCGTACGGGGCTATAAGCGGTTTACGGCGTTAGTCGCTGTAGATTCCTGAGGCGTTATCATGGCGTTAATGATGTGAAGTATGAATCTGAGGAAGGCGGCTGAAGTGGCGAGAGTCGTTGCGAGTGGGTTTGGCGAGTAATTCATTTTTTGGCGAATTAGGCGTTTAATTCGTCGTGATTAGTACAACTTAATGAGGACATTGTTGTTGCAGGATGGCCGACTGTTACGTGAATCTGTAGTGAGAGGTGGAAGAAGACCGGCGCAGTAGAGCCACGGCGGGCCTAAGGCATGCGAGGCACGGGGACGACACGACGAAACACGGCGGGTGTAATTATTGTAGTGGTATGATATTATTAATAAAGGCGTTTCTGTTGAAAGCGTCTTTTCTTCTAATAACTCAGAAATCAGTGTAACAATAGTTATAAACTAAAATTCCAAGTTTGATAATACATATCTTACATTTGTATTTACCGCCCAAAAAATTTTCGGGTAATTTAGTGTTTCTACACTAAATAAATTTTGAGTTGGCAATGAGTAGAAAAAAATAGCAGC